AAATGGTGAAGGGTATTCAAGGTTCGGCCCGGCCGAACTTACAGCTTTTTTACTTGTTTTATCTCACCCTGTATATGACCGTAGGCTGGTGGTATACGACAAAACCGGCTGATAAGTTCTAACTTCATTTGTATGTTTGTTATATGTGACTCAGATAACTAATAACTCTGGCCTTTGATGAAATTACCGAAAACCACAACAATTTCCATACTAATTTCAACAAATCAAATTTGTTTAAATAATTTGACAAATTCTCGAAAGGTATTTAATTTATTTGCTACAATTGTGGTATACACAATTTAAATGGTTGTTGTTGTAGTAGTTGTTGTTGTTTTTTGTTTCCCAAAAACTACAAATTGTAACTACCGCAATTTGCATAATTTTGAAATTCTCAATTCCCAAATGTTTTAATTAAAATCTAACAAGCCATTTAAAAATCTTTTAATTACGGATTCCGGAGCATACACAGGGACACATACACACAGCCACACACTAACACATAATCTGGTAAAATGACAAACAAAAACAAAACTACAAAATCAGGATAATCAAATGAACATAAGCAGACACACCTATAGCTTCTATACACGTGTGCAAATGTATACCTACACACATGTGTATGTGAATGTGTATGTGTAGAAAACCCTAAAATTCACCAGAGTATACGAAAACATTCATCCGATGGGGCCAGCAAACGTCAGAGCGACATAACAGCAACTGGAAAAGGTTTGGAGCAAAACAGAAAACATGCAAATCTCTGTAAAAAAAAAAAATTGTGTAGTAATTTGAAAAGTAATTAGCATGGCAAACAATAATTAACAAAAATGTTCAACAAAAACAGCAACAACAACGGGAGCAGCAAGAACATTAATGGCAACACAATGAAATGAAATAAAATCACAACAACCATCCGAGAGTGGGTTGAGGATGAGAAGGGGGCATCAAACGTACATACGGATGAAGTTCGAAACAGCATAAAACAATTACCAACCCGTGTACCGTAATTACAACAATAAAAAATTCGACAATAGCTAAGAATAATGAAAATGTTTAAAACCATTTTTCCTTTTGGTTTCATTTTGAACCTTTTTTTTTTTTGAACTTTTTCACATTAGATTAAATGGGGAAAATTATGTGAAATTTTGAAAGGTAATTGACAGGAGATCAAGGGCGAAAGTTTTTATACGCAATTTCAGAACTGGATTATCTGTTTATTTATACATGAGTGGACATTTCGATATTTCTCTGACAAATGACTGTGTATCAGAAAGTATCCACTGTTATCAAATCTAAAATACATGATTTTCGGTAACGAGATAATTTTTTGAGATAAATTAATAATAACCTCGGTCGAAATTTTTACAGTTCCAAAACTTAAAAAACACAGTTTGACAAAACTTCAAACTTGATATAAGAAACGGAGCACAGTGTTTTGAAATATATTAGGGTCCACAATTCTGAATCCTGAATCTTATTAAATGATGAATATCTTTAAATAATTTAGGCCAGTATCATCGTAAGATTTCTTTAATTTAAGTCAAAGTGAGTACTCCTCGATTAATAATATATATATATATATATATATATATATATATATATATATATGTCAGATTTAATAATATATATATATATATATATATATATATATATATATATATATATATATATATATATATATATATATATATATATATATATATATATATTCCCGATCAGCGTAAAATTCCAAGTCGATGCCCTCTGTTGCAATCACGCTATCTTTCGAACGAATTGAGATCGAAGGCTAAAATGTTTCACACATGTGTATTTTGCCAGTAGGTAGGTTAAGTTCGTAAATGGGTTATGTAGGTCCACTTTTTCATATAGCCCCAAAACACAATATTCGGTGTTTTGAGGATTTTAGAAATATTTTTACCGGAATTATTTCAAAGTTAATATTTAAAGTTCGTAATAGGCATTATGACAAAAAATTCGGTATTTTTATGATTTTGGCAACATTAATAACCAGAATTATTTCATTATATTGTTTACAAGCGTACAAAAGCATTTTTGTGAGAATTTTACAAAAAAAAAGTTATTTGTGATGGAATTCAAGCGTGATAGTGTTATATTTGGCTGGAAAACCCCAAGTGGCTATCCAGCATTTAAATTTGAATAAATTTTTTGTGGCTCGTACCATCGCTCGTTACCGTGATACTGGTAGCGTAGCTCGACATCAAGGAAGTGGACGGAAGAAAAACAGCAACATAAGCAGGAATGGTTCGAAAATTAACGAAGCGACTTGATCGAAACCCGCGTCGAAGTGGTCGAGAAATGGCTCATGAGCTGAATGTATCGCAATATTCCATTCGGCAAATATTGAAAAATGAGCTCGGGGAAAATCCATTGAAATCCCAAAAAGTACAAGAACTTATACCGCTACAGAAAGAAAATAGACTCAAAGAGGTAAAGAGTTGCTTCACTTGACCGAAAGTGGTGAAATGTCGAATTTTGTTTTCTCAGATGAGAAAACATTCGTTGTCAAGCAGTTTGTAAACAAACAAAATGATCGTGTTTATTTGCCAAAGAGGTCAGCTGAAAATGAGCACCTTCGGTTGGCCACTACAACTCAAGCGCCGGCCATGGTGATGGTGTGGGCCGCCATAACCGCCGATGGTCGCTCTCCGCTCGTATTAATCGACTGTGGCATCAGAATAAATGCCGAATGTTATTGCGAAAATATTCTAGAGGGTGTATTAAAGCCTTGGGCACTCAAACATTTTGGCCGCAGCTCTTGGATATTCCAACAGACCTCATAAAATGGGGTTCCTCGCTTCATTTCCAGCGCACAATGGCCACCAAAATCTTTGGATACCAATTCGTTGAACTATTGTGTCTGGAGTATTTTGGAAAGAAAGGTTGGCACTAAAAAATGCCAAATTATCGTAGAATAACATTCGGGCAACGTGTGACGGTTACATTGGCCGTTTGAAGGCCTTAATTCGTGCCAAAGATGACCAATTCAAACAAATCTAAACTTATTCTAAAATTTGATGCTATTTCCGCCATTTTTTGCTTTCATTCAATAAAATTTAAAAATGTTAAAATTATACCGTTTAACTTTGTTGCAGTTTTTTTTATCTCATCCTGTACATGCCGACTTTAGGAAATTTTTTAATTTGTTTTGCGATATCAGGAAAATATTTTGCAATAATATTTTTGTAATATTTAATATTAAAAAAAAAAACCTGGTGAGAATTTGTTAATTTTAACAAAGGTACAAATTCCCTTCTCCCTCGCTGACAAAAATATAAATTTCAATAGAATAATTTTTTCTCAAAGAAATTTTACACATCGACACCGGATAACATCTTCGAAGCTAATACAAGTTTATTTTCATATTTAGTCATAAAAATTCTTATTATTTGATTTAAAATATAAATAATGCCAACTACTGGAGACTTAGGAGCACTTATCCTATTATTTTTATAATTAAATTTCTGTCCTAAATCCAAATTGATCAGAAAATAAAACGTTTTTTTCTCTCTCAACATACCAATAAATTTTCGTAGAAATTAAAACTATAAGGAAAAAGAATAACAAAAAATAAATAACCTTTTCAAACAAGATTTGGCCTTTTGGCGTTACGGTATGCCATGAATTACTTTCCAATCAAAACATTACAGATTACCAATAATTTGAGATTTCCACAACTTAAAAATATTTCTATAACCTTTAAATAATTTGCCAAAAATTAAGATGCATTAGAGAAAGCTGCGTTAAAAAGTCTCGAAACCCTCCCTATGTATCTGCCCAGAGTAAAGTTGCAAATCACAAAAACTTAAGCATTTGTTCCAACCCGTAATTAAGAAAATTATTTTTCATTATCCATGCAAATATCAACAAAGAATATACAATTCCAACATTCATTAAACTTGCATTGCAATTCAACAACTGTTCTGAAACAAAGTAAAAACACTAACAACAGAGACCTTCATAAACCCCTAGACTCAGTCTATGACAACTACTATTTGTACTGCTTCAACTTTTGACTCGTCACCATCATCATCATCCATTTCACCGGCTTAATGACTATAAAACTGACTTTATATTACATTTTTTTGAACCTACAACCATACGAATGTAGGTTGTATATCCGATATACTCACTCTCATTCGTTAACTTGTCAGAAAATAGGTTCCAATGCCATGACAATTGGTGAGGTGGAAGTAGCAAGTAGCAGCAGCAGCAGCAACACTCCATAATGATGGTAATTATATCTCATTTTTCTAACAATTTTAGGCTAAAAATGGTGACTGCATTTCAACTAACTAACACACACACACGCTCGCACTCAGTGTTGTTGTTGTTTTATTTTTGCTACAATAATGGAGATGAATTCTGATGGATGTTGTGGAGGTGGGAGTTGAATTTACGCCAGCATTACAAAGTATATGATGACATTGCTCGGTTGTAGTGCTCTGACGACCAACAAATGCCACACCTTTCCAATTTACCAACAATTTCAAACTAATCATGGCTGTGTCTGACAATTACTCCACAAATTTAACGGCAATAATAACAACAGCAACAACACCAACAAGAAAAACAATGGCAACGATGTGCCATCATCAACACAGAGTAGAATAGGTAACGCCTCCTGAGTATTTGGTCAATATAACAGGTTGTCTCTTTCACACCCGGGATTTATAATGGCCAATTTGCAGTATGGAAAGAGAGAGAGAATTCAGAAAGGAGAACTACTCCATTTTTTATGTGGTGTTTGGTGTGAGAGTAACGGAGTGTGAAGAAAAAAAAAAACAGAAGTCGATTATAACAAAACAAAGAGTATTCCATTCAAAGTCTATTCAATGAGCATGAGAGCAGAATAAACTGAGAGTGGTATTTTGTTTGTGTTGTATTGAGAACCTAATAAGAAAAACACACTGTAACAAAGAAGGGTGGTGTTTATTGGTTGTTGGACTGAATGGTGGATGGATGGTTGGTGGAGCAAAAGAGCAAGAGCACGTCTGTGTGTAATTTACGGCAGGGTAGTAGTTGTTAAGTATTTTTCATGAGGTATATGATTGAGAACGGTCGATTATTTTCTTACAGTCGTTGAAACGCGTTTGTACGTTAAGGACGTACGGCAAATGTAGTTCCGCCATAAGAAGAAAAAAATAAAACAAAATAATAAAGAAGTGAAAATAACAAAAAATAATTGATAAAGAGATATAATTTGAATAAAATTTTGGAAATAATTATAAAAGAATTTTAAGAAAGAAAAATACAAAAAGAATATAAAAATAAGCATAACAATAAAAGTGTTCTAAAAAGTTGTGAGCTATACTAAACATTGGAAAAATATTCATATAAAGAAGAAAAAAAAAATAATGTCAAGTGCTCAAGTATCCCAGCCACCAACGCTGCAACAATTGCAGCAACATCAACAACAGCAGCAGCAACAACAACAGCAACATATTTCACAGTTCCTTAATCACATAGCGGCGGCCCAGCAGCAGCAGCAACAACAACATCATCAACAGCAAATCCATAATCATCAATCTGATCTCACAAGCAGCTCACCATCACACAGTGATTATCATCACGATTCCAATACCCGGTCCACATTGTCGCCACGATCCCCCAGATCAGTGCAACATAGTCCTCAACGTTCGACAAACTCCACACCACCACCCGCCCATTCCAATTCCAATTCAAATTCCCCCAAACCCCTAACGCACAGTAACAATCCCCAAGAAGAGGCTCAGCAACAAACATCACTCAACAACAACAACACCGCCGCACCCTTGCCCTTACTGGTGCAGCCGGTACCCTTGAGCAACGCCAACATGCATCAGCTTGCCCACAACACCACATCTCCCCTCAATCTAAGAGATCAACGAATTTCGTTTCCACCACAAAGGATCTATGAAGGTGGCATACCGCCCCCAGTACCGGCAACACATCTAGTTCACCATCCCCCACCACCTCCAGCTTTGGTAAATGGTGTCTATCCCATGGCACGATTACCTTTAGGTGCTGTTATGTTAAATAGCTCCCCAAATCACGTACCGCCAATGCCTCCCAACGGCCACTCACAACTGACACCTCCGCCTCCCTCACCCACCACATCCATATCACCGCCTGTCATCCATCAAACACAGCAACCGAAAAAATCATTTTGCATCGATGCCCTGCTGGCCAAAAATCAAAATACTCATGAATCGCAACAATCGGCGGCAGCGGCATCAGTGGAATCTATGAAAAATTCTCACCTGGATGATCGTCTTACCGCCGCAAGTCTTCAATATGCCCGTGAAATGTCAGCAGCTGCGGCAGTCGCGGCGGCGGCGGCATCGGGCGGTATGTCCGAACAGGAGGCATTGCAGCGTATACACGAGTCACGTGAATACGATTCGCCGTCTCCCGACGGTATGTCAAGGTGAGTTTTGCTGGAATGTGGATATTTTTTTTTTTTGGTTTTTCTTGAAATGGAAAATTTTAGGAAATGGGGAGAGGAGAATTGAAAATTTCCCTTTAAAGTATAGTTTTCGATATATTGGTACAATTCTATCTACCAAAAACTTATAAACATATTGAAAATTAGGAATGCATTTCCAAATATATGTCTTTAATGTTCACATTTTTGTTTTGATGGGTAACAAGTCATAAACATAAGACCATGTCTTAATAGCTCATTTGACTGTTTTTGAATGATAAAATAATGCAAAAGATGACATGACCCATGACCCACCCCTTTTATGATATTTAAGCTGTTTTTTCAGTTCAGTTCAGTGCTTGGCAAAAGAAAAGTTTACATTTTTGTGTCTAGAAAAATTCCTTTAATCGTTAGATATGAAGTATTTTAAAGAATATTAGGATAGCCAATTTATTTTCTCAGCCCAAAACATTGTCAACATAGGTAGCTTATAGCATCGACATAGCTAGGTATAGGTCAGCAGCTTCTAATTTATCGAAACTTTTTAAAGATTGTATAGGAAAGTATTTATATTTTTTCGTTTACCCCATCCCCCAAGTGGTTTCAGCATCCATTTAAGGTTAAAATATGTGGTCAAAAGCTAGAGACGTGCGGAAAACTTCATTTTTTAATGTGTATAGCATTTTTTGTATTTTTGTTATTATGATAAATTTAATATTTTGGTCGCAATGGTCCACATGTAATAGACTTAAAAGTTTCTCTTTCAAAAAAATATATAATACAGAATTTGTCTCAATCCTATAGCAAAACATGCTCATGTGACTAAAATGAACTTGAGATTTGGGTAGGCGGAATAATACTAGATTTTTTATATATTTCGTATAGTTCCAAATTCTACATTTTCAGTGGTGCGAATGAAACCTAGAATCGGTTGAGCCCCTTCAGGTTCTTCTGGGATTTAATTTTTTTAACGATGAAAGATATTGACACATATCTCTCAGGTCAGATGCCTTCTAAGTTAGTATTAAATCTAATTGCAAATAGCAAACCGTCATCTTTTAAAAATACTAGAACAGCAGCTCATTCATTTGGAAATGCGGCTAGGTAATTAAAATACCATTGAAAATCATGAATCTGAATTTTTGATGGTAATTTGTGTTTCCTATTAAGGTAGAACCTTTACAACCTCAAAACTCCAATATGGAACGTAAGTGAAAAAAATCAACCGCTATTGAACACTTTTTTGTAGGATAAATTCTTATCAAACGAGAATCAAACTGTCAGATTGAAGCTAATTCTACTAGAAATTTTAAATTTTTTGCTGAAAAAAATAAACAAGTAAAACGGGCAGAACTTGGAATATCATTATTTGGAACGAATTTGGAAACCTTAAAAAAAGTAAATAAAGACCAGCATAGACAATTTTTCGTCACAGGCTGTAGTACGTATTGGGAGCTTCAAATACGAATTTTCAAACAATGTCGTTGAATATAGTACCTAAAATCGTGAAAATACCGAATATAGGGAGGCACTGATATATGGGATCTATACGAAGACCTGGATATGCACAAACAATTTTCTGGAGGTACCGTTATATGGAGGCTATACGAAGACGTGGACATATATATACAATACTCTTCCAGGGGTTAAAGTACTCAGAAGGAACTCCTTTTTGGGATTTTCAGATAATTTAGTTGAAAAATTTGGCGAAAATCATCAAATACGACATCCTATCTATATTCGTTTTGATTCTAGCGTGGTTACAACAGACAGATAGGGCTAAATCGTCTTAGAATACGCTGATCAAGAATATATATACTTTTTAGGGTGTAAAATTATTATTTCATATCCTATATGGGGCATATCTCAAAAAGAGAAGCCAATTCAGTTCATACTAAAAATGAGGATAGGAGATACAAGATATTGGACCTATATTGAAGGTTTCCTTCGAAATGAAATAAATTTTTCTTGGAAAAGTGTTATTGCCCAGTTAGGTCCCATTCCCAGTGGTTTCGAAATGTCTTTCTATGTACGCTCCCGTCTACAGCGTTAGGAGGATCCCAACATCATAGATTACCGCATTTTTGGTTAGAAAAGGTATATTAAGGAGAAAAAACAAATAAGTGAAATCGAAGGATGCCTCGTTGATATAAAGCTAGAGCTGTTTACCTAACAATCCGAAAATCTGAAGGTATCAAAAGAACCTTTAGAAGGATTTTTTTCTCAATTTATAGCTGTAAGACATTCTAAGGGTTCTCCTATATCATTTGTAAAAAGGCAGTAAATATATGTCTATTCTATTAGATATTATGAAAATGTTTTATATTTAAGGAAAATAAAAAAATAGAATTAGATAAAGTCCTCCCGCTGGGTTTCTTGGAAAATTGACATTATTGTAAAATCATAAATCTCTTTCAAAAAGTATTTCCTACTGGGTACAAATTGTATGCATCTAATATCTTTTGCCAGATGTGGCAGTACCATAGCAAAATATTAATTTTTTATAGAAAATGTGCAAAAAGTTTCTAGAAAATACCACTCTAACCCAAAACTTACGCTTAGGGGTCCGATTCCCCTTCAAAATGGAAACTTTTGATATGTTTTCCATGGAAAACTGCAGTTTTCCTAGTTTTAGTACAATATTAATTCTTTGAATATTGTACCCAAAATCAGAGACTGCTACTAAGATCTCCGGAGAAGAATCTTGTTTATAATCTCCGATTTTGAAAAGTGTCTTTAACAGCTTTAAAATCCTTAAAAAACCCACTATTATTAAATCCCTTCTGTATCTTTAAAAGTATTTATTAAATATTAAACACACACAGCTCTAAAACAAGAAATGATGGATTTTTTTTTTTTGTAGATTTTTGTAATAATTTTTTTAATGTTTGTGAGAAAATGCAAAAAAAAAAATAATAATAAACCCAACTAAGCGTCGAGAAAAATTTAAACATTAGAAAGTAAGACCTACAAAGAACCAAATTTTTAAAATGTTTGCAAAACACATGGAGAAAATATGTTTGCCTGCCTGTTTTATCAAAAATATATACATAAAGTTGGATATTAGGTGTCCTTAATTGAATTCAGGAATGTAATTTTTATATACCAGTTCCTGGTTTTCATTATTAAATGTTTGTAAATGCTATGCATTTTAGCACCGTCTTAAACCATTGTCCTTTTATGAAGTTGAAATTTAGTTTTGCTAACTTTGACCCCATATTTTGCAATGGAGAAACAATTCCGCAACTTATTCTTTATTCCATGACAATAAATAAGACATAATTTTTTCACTTTATGTTCCACTCCTTTTCCCCCGCTTTGAGGTCATCCATCTCTGAAGATTATTTCATAACAACAATAACAATTTCACGACATTTGGTAAACAATCTACATTTTTTAAAAGCAACAAAATATAAATTGGGTTACCCATTGATGACCAATCGCTGTCAATTATGCCATTAAAAATTGTTCAAAATAAATAAAAGAAAACAACAAATGCCATAATTGAAAAAGACAACTTAAATGTCACTTGAAAACTAAGACACATTACTCAATTCGCAAAAAAAAAAAAACCTAATGAAAATATTTGGAGGTGCACAGTTGGGTGGGACAAAAATTAAAAAAAAAAATACATTAACAATAACACTGATTGTGACAAAAATGTATACGAGTTTTATTGCAACAATGTTGTATAAAATAAAAACAACAAAGACATATACAACAATGATAAATGTAACAGCAATTGAAAACTCCAAAGAAAATAAAAAAAATATAACAAAATATTGCAATAAACAATTTTTTTATCACTAATTGCTTTTAAATGATGACTTTGTACTCAATACTTGTGTGCGTGGTTATAAGTATTTCAAGTGTTCGTAGAAGGAAATGGAATGTGTTTTTAATTAAATTTTAAAATGAAGTGTTTCGTATTATAACAGCTCAAGGAAAATTAATTAAATTTGCTTTAATGAATTTTTTTTTTGTCTTGGTATTCCAGATCCGAATCTCCCACATCATCGCATCGTTCCAGTCCCCCCATCAGTCCCGGCTGTGAGGATCAGCAACATTTGGGCATGCATGGCATGGATTTGGGTGATGAATTTAAAAAGCCAGTGCCTCCTCACAGTCCCATCAGACCGCAAGATTTCCCCCTTTATGCCGGCGGCCATCCCTATCATTTGTTGGCCCATGGCGGTTCGGCGTTTCACAGGCCTTTAGATCCTTCGGGAAAGCCAATACCGGTAAGTTACAGACAAGTGAATAACATCAAACAAAACACAAAAATTAGGGAATAAAACCTAAACCTATTGATGGGACAATTCAAAATTAAAGCAATTGAACACTATTAAAAATCCGATTGAAAAGCAAAATGGCTTGGAAAAACCTTGAAACATTTGATTAAACAATAACAGTTAAGAAAACGGTACTATGCTTGGAAGTAATTTTTGATTAAAATTCCACCTTTATGAACTTGAACTTTTGAACTTTTTAAAGAAAATATAACCAAACAAGTTCCCGGATGTGATGTTAACTGAAATTTTTGAAATTCTATAAAAAATCGTTTAAAAATAAAAGAAATTATCTTTGGGGGTCCTTTGGTTTTCGTTTTAAGTAAAAAATTTAATAATAAAAAAAAAAAAAAAAAAAACATTAAGAGCCTCCAAGACCTTTGAAATATTTTCAGCTTTGGGAAATTTTATTAAAAATCAACGAAAAAAGATCCTTGGGAATGAGTTCCAAAATTTTATAGCAAAGACCTTGAACATTTTTGTTTAAAGGTCACTATTTAAACTTGGAACTACGTTGAAAATATTTTTTTGCTTCGCAAATTTTTTTAAAAAAAATCTAAGGTTTTAGACTTTAAAGTCCTTCGATTCAAGAGCTGGGCATCCTTCTTATTAAAAAAATTCTTTATTTAACCTTTGAACGTCATTTGAAAAATGTTATTAAAAATCCACGCAAGTTCTTTGAAAAATTTTATGACAAATGTGCGATTTTAGAATTGAAAGTCCTTTGAAAATTGTTATAAAAACGTCCAAGATCTTTGCCTGCAAAGTCCTTCCAAATTTTTTATGAAAACATCCAAGATTTTTGCCTTGAAAATTCTTTGCAGAAGGATTTTTAATACATTTTTTCGAATGGCATTCATAGTTTAAATCGTGGAATTTTTAATAAGAAGACCTTCCAAATCCGGAATCGAATTAATAATAAAAATAAAATTTGTTAAGGAATTTTAAACTCTTGAAAGTCCTTTGATGATGTATAAAAAACCAAAATTTTAGACTTGAAAGTCCTTAAGAAACATTTATTTAATTTTCAACAATTCTTATTTGATTTTTGCTTGAAAGTCCTTTGAAGAAGTGAAGTGAAGACTTGAAACTCCACGTTTATGTCCTTTGAAGTCCTTAAAAGATCTTATTCAAAAAAATCCAAACTTATGTCCAAAGAAGTTCTTAAAAAATTTCATTTAATAAAATCCACGCTTATGTACATAGAAGTCCTTCAAAAATTTTATTTAAAAAATCTGTGATCATGTGCTAAGAAGTCCTTCAAAAATTTTATTTAAAAAATCTGGGTTCATGTCCCAAGAAGTCCTTCAAAAATTTTATTTAAAAGTCCACGTTTATGTCCCAAGAAGTCCTTCAAAAATTTTATTTAAGAATCCACGTTTATGTCCCAAGAAGTCCTTCAAAAAGTTTATTTAAAAATCCACGTTTATGTCCAAAGAAGTCCTTAATTTTTTTTATTTAAAAAATCCACGTTTATGTCCTAAGAAGTCCTTCAAAAAATTTATTTAAAAATCCACGTTTATGTCCCAAGAAGTCCTTCAAAAAATTTATTTAAAAATCCACGTTCATGTCCTAAGAAGTCCTTCAAAAATTTTATTTAAAAAAATCAGGTTTATTTCCCAAGAAGTCTTGAAAAAAAATTGCATTTAAAAATCCACGTTTATGTCCCAAGAATTCCTTAAATTTTTTTTTTTAAAAATCCACGTTTATGTCCAAAGAAGTCTTAAAAAAATTGCATTTAAAAATCCACGTTTATGTCCAAAGAAGTCTTGAAAAAAAATTGCATTTAAAAATCCACGTTTATGTCCAAAGATATCCTTTAAAATATTTTATTTAAAAATCCACGTTTATGTCCAAAGAAGTTCTTTAAAATTTTTTATTTAAAAAATCCACGTTTATGTCCAAAGAAGTCCTTAAAATTTTTTATTTAAAAAATCCACGTTTATGTCCGAAGAAGCCTTAAAAAAATTGCATTTAAAAATCCACGTTTATATCCAAAGATATCCTTTAAAATATTTTATTTAAAAATCCACGTTTATGTCCAAAGATATCCTTTAAAATATTTTATTTAAAAATCCACGTTTATGTCCCAAGAATTCCCTAAATTTTTTTATTTAAAAATCCACGTTTATGTCCGAAGAAGTCCTTTAAAATATTTTATTTAAAAAGGCCTTTAAAATATTTTATTTAAAAAATCAATGTTTATGTCCCAAGAAGTCCTTAAAAATTGTTATTTAAAAAATCCACGTTTATTTCCAAAGAAGTCCTTCAAAAATGTTATTTAAGAAATCCGCGTTTATGTCCTAGGAAATCCTTCAAAAATGTTATTAAATAAATCCGAGTTTATGTCCTAAGAAGTCCTCAAAAATATTATTAAAGAAATCCACGTTTATGTCCTAAAGTCTTGTGGAACTTCTAAAAAATCCGGTGAAAAAACGTTTGGAAGAGTCGGGGAAGTCCTCTTTAAAAAAATCATTTAAAAATTCCGATTTATAGTCTAATAAGCCCTTAAAAAAATCAGTTAAAAATCCAATTGTATGACATAGGAAGTTCTTGAAAAAAGTTTAATTCTAATTCTCGTCTAAGGTCTAGAAAGTCGAAAAAACTAATAAAAAAAAACTCTTTCCCAAATTTATTCTAAATAAATTCCTGTATGTCTCAACTAATAAATCCTCTCTCTCCTCTCTTTTGCCTTCTTTCAGATTCCAATGGGACAACACTTTATGCCATCACATCTGCAATTTGAATTTTTGGCTCGTGCCGGTATGCTGCATCATCGCATACCCGAACTGGCAGCCTATCCCCATCATGCCATACTGGGCAAGACACGACGTCCTCGAACGGCGTTCACCTCCCAACAGCTGCTCGAATTGGAGAAACAATTCAAGCAAAACAAATATCTTTCCCGCCCGAAACGTTTTGAGGTTGCCAGCGGTTTAATGCTGTCCGAAACGCAAGTGAAGATATGGTTTCAAAATCGTCGCATGAAATGGAAACGTTCCAAGAAGGCCCAACAGGAGGCGAAGGAACGTCTCAAACAGCAACAACAACAGCAGCAACAGCAGCAACAGAACTCACCACCCAACACAGTCAGTTAGTTTTTGGCCAAAGAGGCTGTGGGTTTTTACTAGTATCACCCGCACTACAATCAGCTAATGAGTGCAAGCCAGAGCAGTAGTGGTGGTGGTTGTACTTTGCCAGGCACTTCATCATTGACAGAAGCAGCAGCAACAACAACAACACCAATTACGATAGAAAGAACAGCAGTAACCAAAGAAGAAATAAGATGAAATGAAGAAAAGAGTTTTGTAAATCCAATTGCAACCGGTGATGATGATGGCGCTGATGTGGGTGAGACATGAATCCGGCAAATTACCAATGCTAGTCACAAAATTGGTCAAAACGAAACGCAACGAAACAAAGAACAAACAACTACAGTTTTAGTCAACATAGCCACAATTATCCGTCCCAATTGCCGCTCCTGATGTTGACCCTAACAATCTGCCTTGCAAATTCTAATGAGGGGTCATTTATGTGGTTGTCCTTGTTGTTGCCTCTGCCTCTGCTGCTGCTGCTGTATGTGGTGGTGTCAATCCATGCAATGGATAATGTTGATATTTCCTCATTGTTGTTGTTTTGCTACCAACACCTGAGCCATTACATCAATACACTTAGCCATGATTAGGCAACAGCGCAGAGACTGATGACGTGGTGGATAATGGCCAGAGTTTACTTAGCTAATGAGATTTACTTAAATCAATACCAGAGTATCCATGGAGTGTTGGTTGGTGTTGCCATATTGTTTGCCAATGTTTTTGCAATTAGTTCCAATTTGTCTGCTGGTGTATCTATTTGGATATTGAAAGGCAAAACGCATCGCTGATGATGCTGGTGATGACGATGCAGATGATGTTGTGGAGGTGTAAAATTGTTTATTTGTATTTAGACAAGTTTAGTCATGCCGCTCTAAACTGATTGCAGGCAGCAATGGTCTCAGTGGCAACAAATCGCATTATGTGATACAATTGAATACAAACAACATCGACAACAATCCAGAACAAATTCACAATAGCATTGAAATATTGCGATTTTCAATTCAATTCTGACACGAACGAACAACACTCGCATCGCCGTGTCGTCTCGTCTCGTGTGCATTGTAAATATTTATTGTAAAAATGAATGAACAAAATACAAACTAACTAAAAGTATTAATTAATATTTGTGTATTATTATTATTAGTATTAAATAAGTCCTAGGTACAATTTATTGAATTTTGAATAGAAAGAAAACATAAAGAACAAAAATAAAACAAAAATGAATAAATAAAAAATCAACAATTAAAACATTAAAATATAACTGAGATTGTTTTTATTTAATTTTAGTAAACATTTTTTAGCTTAATTAAAAAATAGATTTCAGTCGGGGAAGTATTTAAAAATACTGTAAAAATGGGTGTTTATGGCAGAGAAAACCCTTAAAACTAAAAGTTCAAGTTAAGTCCTTGAACAATTCACCAAAAATCGGGTTTATAGTTCTAAAAATGTATTAAAAATCCAGATAAGCAAGAATTATTGCATATTTTAAAATGGCCATAACTCCTTAAATATTGAGTTTTCGGCGATTTTAGCTATTATTTGTGATCACTTTTATAAGCAAGAAAGCTGATAAAACTTCCAAAAAAGGTCCTTGAAAACGCATTGATAAACTCGTGCTAGAGCTCAGAAATTAAATAAATATGTATGTTCATGCTCTACTATTATGACATAGGAAGTCCTTGGAAAAAATATTAAAATATTAAAATTTATCTCCTAGGATGTCCCTGAAGAAAAAATAACCAAGTCTATGCTTAAGAAGGCCTTTAAAAAAGTTATGGAACTATGTAAACGTCATAAAACTACCGTTCATTACACAGAAAGTTTTCAAAAAAATACATTCAAGAGTTGCTTAAGAACTTCCTCAAAAATGTTAATTAAAAATCCAGGATTATGTCCTTAGCAAACCTTTCAAATATCATTCAAAATAGAAAATTATTCCAATTCCTAATGAATCCCTGATTAAATAAAAAATAACATTAGTGTAATTTCCCCGCTCATAATTTATTAAAAATCCTGAAATATAAATTTCAAGGCTTAGACAATGCCTAATGTCAAACAATGAATGCTTAAAAGTGTTTATAGCTTAGGAAGTCCCTTAAAGATTTCTAAAGAAATTACATTTTGATCCGTAAATAACAAGTAAAAAACATTAAGTTCGGCCGGGCCGAAACACTAGAACCAATTATGACCCACAAATACCAATTTTTAGACATATTCGTGGGAAAATTTGGCAAAAATCATCAAAATACCGAATATCGGGAGGTAGCGCTATATAGGGCTATACAAATGTGTGGACCTATACATACAATATTTCGCCAACGGAGCTAGACTTCATTATGACCAACAAATTCCAATTTTTAGACAAATCCGTGATCAAATGTGACAAAAACCATGAACATACCGAATATCGGAAGATACCGTTATATGGAGGCTATACCAAAGCGTGGACCTATACGTACAATGTTTCGGCGCACGAATTAGGGCCCATTATGACCTACAAATACCAACTTTCAGACAAAACCGTGAAAAAATGTGGTAAAAATAATCAAAATACCGAATATCGGAAGGTACCGCTATATAGGGCTATACAAAAGCGTGGATCTATACATACAATATTTCGCCAACGGAGCTAGACCTCATTATGACCAAGAAATTCCAATTTTTAGACAAATCCGTGATAAAATGTGACAAAAACCATCAAAATACCGAATATCGAAAGATACCATTATATGGAGACTAAACCAAAGCGTGGACCTATACATACAATGTTTCGCCGCACGAACTAGGACCCATTATGACCTACAAATACCAATTTTCAGACAAATCCGTGAAAAATACCAAATATCGGGATGTACAGTTATATGGGGACTATACCAAAAAGTGGACCGATATATCTCATTTTCAATACCAACCATCCTAGACACAATACAAATTATTCTGCTAAATTTTGACGCTCTACGTCAAATAATGTGGGCTGTAACGTGATTTCAACAGACGGATAGACACACAGACATCGTTAAATCGTCTTAGAATTTTATGCTGATTATGAATATATATACATTATGGGGTCTACGACGAATATTTAGGGATGTTACAAAGGGAATGACAAAGTTAATATACCCTCCTTTCCAAGGTGGAGGGTATAAAAATAATGCATATACAGGGTGAGATAAAAAACTGCAACAAAGTCAAACGCCATAATTTTAAATTTTTTTAAGTTTAGATTTGTTCGATTTGGTCACCTTTGGCACGAATTATGGCCTTCAAACGGCCAATGAAACCGTTACACGCTGCCCGAATGTTGCTCCGCGGTATTTTGGCCCATTCCCGGCGAAGCTCTTGCTTGAGGTGATCGACACTTCGGTATTTTTTTGTGCCAACCTCGCTTTCCAAAATATCCCAGACACAACGGATTGGTATTCGGAGATTTTGGTGGCAATTGTGCGCTGGAAATGATGCGAGGAACCTCATTTTGTAACAATTCTTGGGTGGCGCGTGCTGAGTGCGATATTGCTGAGTTCTGGCGAAATGTTCAAGGTCTGCGGCCAGAATGTTTGCATGCTCAAGGTTTTAGTACACCCTCCAGAATATTTTCGCGATAATATTTGGCATTTATTCTGTTTAGATTAATACGGGTGGAGAGCGACATTCGACTGTAATAACCTCTTTGGCAATTAAACACGATCATTTTGTTTGTTTACAAACTGCTGGACAACGAATGTTTTCTCATCGGAGAAAACCAAATTCGGCAGTTCATCACTTTCGGCCAAGCGAAGCAACTCTTTAGCTCTTTTGAGTCTATTTTCTTTCGGTTGCGGTGTAAGTTCATGAATTTTTTGGAATGGCTTTACCCCGAGCTCATTTTTCAATATTTGCCGAATGGAATATTGCAATATGTTAAGCTCACGAGCCATTTTTCGGCCACTGCGACGCAGGTTTCGATCAAGTCGTCTCTTTACTTTTCGAACCATTTCTGCTGATGTTGCTGTTTTATTCCGTGCACTTCCATGACGTCGGGCTACGCTACCAGTATCAAGGTAACGAGCGATGGTACGAGACACAAAAGATTTATTCACATTTAACGATAACGATAGCCACTTGCGGTTTTCCAGCCATATATAAAAAATTACGCTATCACGCTTCCATCACGAATAACTTTTTTTCTGTAAAACTCTCACCAAAATTCTTTTGTACGCTTGTAAACAATATAATGAGCTGTCACTGGAATAATTTTAACAGCTATCGGACGATTGGCTTAGAAATAACAGCAGTCTGAAATTGGTTGTAATTTTTTCATCTCACCCTGTATGTATACAATTATAACGTCACGTCATGGCCATAGTTTTGTTTCAAAAAGTGATCTTTAAACAGCCGCTCTTATGGATCCTAGTCGTTAAAAATTCTTGTTTAAAAATTCTAGATTTTTTCCGCCGAAGATTTAAAAATATGGTCGATAATGGTCTTAGGAAAACTTAAATTAAATGCATCATTTACATCTAGGATTGTAGTCTTAGAAGCTTTTTTTTAACTTTCTTTGAAACCCTAATAATGCATCCTAAGTAGTCCTTTCAAAAATCCACGACTACAACCTCGACAGGCTTTTAAACATTTTATTTAAGAAAAACCTATATAGACCTATGTTTATGTCTTTCGCAGCCCTTCAAATTTTTTCATAAAAAATCCCCGACTGTAGCCTATGCAGTCCTTTAAATAAAATTATAAAAATACAAGATTACAGCCTTCGAAGTCCTTTAAAAATGTTTCATTGAAAAATCGAGGTTTATGGCCATGACAGTTCTTTCCTAAAAAAATGGTAACCAAATTCACGATTATAGACGTTGATGTGCTTTAAAAAATGATTTAAATATCAACGTTACAGCCTCGACAATCTCTGAAAAAATCAATAAAAAACAACGATTATAGCCTTAGAAGTCCTTTAGAAACTTTTAAGAAAAAATCACGATTTAAGCTTGGGCGGAATATTCGTTGGGAAATCAAGGACGTCTTTAAAAAATCTTAAGTTAAATCCTTTGTAGTCCTTTAAAAAAATCATTAAAAATCTTCGGTTGTGGTTTTGTCAGTCTTTTAACAATTATATTATTTTCGTTAAAATCGAGGTACATTTTTTCAATTAAGTTAAAAGATTGGAAGTCCTTGAAAAAAATCACAAAATTTTCCGGCTTTAAAGTCAAAGTTTTTTTTAATGGTTTAAGAATTTCAAGTATAAAATATATAAAAATAAAATCGTTGAAATTTTCTGAAAATCCACTTTTTAGAACAATTAAGTTATGGAAAAAAATTTGAAAGTTCACGTCTATGGTTTGGGAAGTCCATGAAGGAAATCATTAAAATTTTCGCTTTTTAGGCCTAGGAAAATGTAAAAAGTATGTTTAAAACACCTTCATTTTATCTTTAGTCTTTTAAAAATAATAAAATAAAAATAATAAAAAATCATTCCAAACCTTTGACAATATTAGAAAATTTACGTTATTGACACTTAAAAAATATTATAAAATAACATTAAAAAAGCACGTTTCAGGATCTTGAAAGAACATTAAATAACCATATTAAAGGTTCTTGAAAAATATTAAGATCCTTGGAGAGAAGTTTGAAGTGCGCGTTTAGAATCCTTGAAAATAAAAAAAAAAAAAAAATAACAAACAAATAAAAGTTCGCGGAAGGAATGGTCCGATCTCTTTCATCTTTATAATAGATCTTGTGTTGATTGAAACATTGAGATGTACCAAATCTGCATGGAATCGGATGTAAATTGCGCGTTCTATAAGCTTCATTGATATTCAAAATTTTGACCCTTTTGTGGGGGAGGTGCCAGAAGGAGTGCATCGATATATTTCATCTTAACACCAAACTGTGGTTTAATAAAAACATTGTGGTGTGGGTAATTTGAAGACAATCGGACTCTTATATCACATTTTATAAGATTTATAATTATTCAAAATGTTGACCCTTTGTGGGGGAGATACTTGATGGAGTGGACTGATATCCTCCATTTTCGCACCTGACCTACTACGGATGAAAATATAAGGATTTGCAAAGTTGGAGCAAAATCGGATTATCCTTTTTCTTTTTTTTCATCGAAATATTTTCTTCGAAAATGTCGACCAGAATAAATAGACCGATATTGCCCATCTCCGATCTCGATCTATGTTTGATAATAATATTTAGATGTATCAAGTTTGGAGCTAATCGGATAATCCCTACGGGAGTTATACGCGCCCCAGCCAGCAGACAGTCGGATTT